ATCGCGTTGCTAATCCTGACGTATACCTCGTGGAAAAAGTGTTGCGCAAGAAAGGTGACAAGGTTTATGTGAAATGGTTAGGATTTGACAATTCATATAATTCATGGATAAACAGGGATAATGTTGTAAAAAATAAGTTTTTTTATAACCTTTTGTATTACAAACAATATATATGTCTTATTCTACAAACATGTATGAGTAATATTTTCTTTATTATTCCAAATGAGTGCTACATATAAAAAAATGCGTAAATAACTATAGCGGTATATTATAATGTCCCCATGGAGACGTGTCGATCGAGTCGGGTATGATATACCGCTAGTCATTGTATGGACTTAGAGCGATTTTTGTTTCAGACACTGTGTAGACTTTGTGTAATTTCGATCTTATATACGATTGTTGACGACTGTTTTCGACTTCATCTCTCAAACATTGTGTATAGTCGTTAAAGGTTATCGTTCGCTCTATGACGCTACTTTTGACGCTTTTGGCCTTTTTCGTATCTTTTTTCCCCTCTACTCTCAGCGCGTACATCTTCGCTCTAAGTCCGACGAATTTTATCATTATAGCTCCGTTATTTTCATCTTTCATCAGGCCCGGAACCTTCTTATTTACAAGCGGTATATTGTACTCGTTGTCAGCAAGATAATCACTCGTATCGAATTTATGAATATCGCGTTTTATGTGCTCACAAATGTCTTCGCATTCTATGTGGTAAATTAGACTGTCGGTGTCGGTGTACATAATTTTACATTTTTCTCAATATGAAGGAGACATGTACTTGTGGTGAAATTCATACAAGCAAACCTTTGATATGTCGAGGATGCACCTACCCACATAGATCGGCTTGTTGAACTTCACTTCGAGTTTCCGTAATTCGACGGCAACTGTTTTCGGTAAAAATGGTTCGGCTATGAAAATTTGGTTTCGCGATCATTGCCTCAGCACCGTACTGTCCATTCCATTTTGTCAACAGTTTCACATCTACATGATTGTGTACATTTTCCATCGTTTTTCCAAATACTGCATTGTTCATCAATTTATACAAATTTTTCTCGAAATTATTAGTCGCTTTTGTTCTAAACTGTGTATTTAGTTCGATGTAATCGCGGAGCCACGGAGATTGAGCGAATTGGATTATACTGTGTACCTTTGTAATGTAAAGACCGTGACGCGTGCACTGCTGCAGGTTGCAATAATGAATAACATAACGCTGCTTATCGTATAAGGTTGCCAATAATTTATCCTGTCTTTTACCGGGTGGTTTGGCGCGCGTTGGACAAAACGGTAGGTCAGCGTGAGCGTCGTGCAAATGTTGCGAATATTCCAGATCGATCTCGAGAATATAACCTATGGGTGAATCGACAGCGATTGAAGATACATCAAATGTTGTAACATCTGTGACACATTGAAATTCGGTGTAAGGCAGCGGTTGACACATTGCCCAACTGTACAGATTGTTTACGTCAAAGTACATCAGGTACGACGATGGTTTCGATGGATCGTAAGACTGCATGTACTTGTTATTGGCCTGTGCGTATCTACTGGAACATTGACTGAGACCGCCGCGTATACCACATTTGATGAGCATGACAATATCGATATCAGTGAGCAATTCAAAATTTATGCCGGTATGTTTTAACATAGCATCCCAAGTGAAAATCGGGAAAGTATAATAATGTGCAGGATCTAATCCGTAACTTTTGATGCAATTATCCCGGAGATTTTCAAAAATATCGGCTAATAATAAGACATCAGTCTTCAGATATAAATCGCTGTATTCACCCAAGGTTTCAATAGAGAATCGTTGCCAGACGTTCGCAGCGTGCGCGTAATCGCTCTCTGATACCGTATTACCCGTCAACGAACTATAAAACGATTTTCGCGGTGGTAAACACGGGTCCTGCAACTTGTCCGCGCAATCAAGGTATTCATATGGAAAAACACTCTTTCGCGTCAATAAATCGAAATCGGATATATTTGAAAATGTGGACTATAAAATTTTTAATTTCTCTTTGTCGAGAAAAGATGCTAATTTCTCGAGACTGGTATTTAGAAATTTGTATGAATCGATGAATCGTAACTGTATGCAATTTCGTAAATAAGATTTTTTTGCTGTATCTTGGACGTGCTTCGTAAATGATATATATTTTTCTTTTGTTATCGGCAGCACAATGATCGAGCCTTCAAATACATTTGCTATTTCCATGATAATAAAAGGTGAATCGTAGCCGGATAAATTATGGAAAACTATTGGAATGTAATATGAATATTTATAATTTAGATTGCACTTTGAATGCGCGGGACCTCTGTACCGTCCGGTGAGATGGCAATGATCGCGTACGCGTGT